TCTTCAAACGCACATACACCACTCTCCCTGGCCCTAAACAGCCACTTAACCTACTTTCTTCTTTGTAGTTTTGCTCATTCTGGCTATCTCTTTATTTTTTTTGAGGTGACGTCTTGCTCTCTCGCCCAGGCTAGAGTGCAGTGGTGTGATCTTGGCTCACTTCAGCCTCCCAGGTTCAAGAAATTCTCCTGCCTTAGCCTCCTGAGTAGCTGAGATTACAGGTGCCTGCCATTAGTCCTGGCTAATTTTTTTGTATTTTTAGTACAAAAAATTTTACCTCAAGTGATCCTCCCTCCCCAGCCTCACAAGTAGCTAGGACCACAGGTGTGCCCTGCTAATTTTTAATTTTTTTTTGTAGAGATGGAGTCTCACTGTGCTGCCCAGATGCTCTAACTCCTGGGCTCAAGTGATGCTCCCACCTTGGCCTCAAAAAGTGCTGAGATTACAAACATGAGCTTCCTCGCCTGGCCAAAGAGTTCTTTATATATTAGAGATATAAGTTGCTTAACAGATGTATGGTTTATAAATATTTTCTCCTGTTTTGGAGGTAGTCTTTTTACTTTCTTGATGGCATCATTTGTAGCACAAAAAGTTTTAATTTCAATGAAGAAATACAACGTATTTGTTTTTCCCTTGTGCTTTTGGAATATTTTATAAGAAGCCAATGCTTAACTCAAGGTCATGAAGACAACTTCTGTGTTTTTTTCTGAGTTTTATAGTTTTAGCTCTTACATTTAGGTCTGTGATCCATGTTGAGTTAATTTTATGGTGTACGGTATGAGGAACGTATATGAGGTCATTCTTTTGCTTGTAGACATGCAGTACTCCTAGCTCCATTTGTTGAAAATGCTATTCTTTCTTACCAAATTGTCTTGGGCATTCTTGAAAAAAAGGCAGATTTATTTCTGGACTCTGAGTTCTATTCCATTGATCTATGTGTCTATGCTTATGTTCCCACAGTGTGTTGATTACTGTAGTTCAGAATTTTTTGAAAGTTGTGTTTCCCATAGATGTGTGAGTATATTTATATAGAGATACACACAGAGCTGTGTGTGTAATGGATTATGTTGTAAAATGTTGGAAAACCTATGGTGTCTCCCCGATAGAGTTCACTCTCTTGTGGCAACTTAGTGGAGTATGTTCCCTCTCAGGTAATATACAGAGAAGAGAGGTTAGAGGGTCGTCTGTGAGTGTATGAACTCCTTTTAGATTGGATGACTGATTTTTCTTACTTTAGTACGTGAAGTTTTCAAGTGCATGGGGACTGAAGGGCAGTAAGGAGGGCATAGAACAGCTGTGGGAATTCCTAAAGAATTCATCGGAGATGAACGTAAGGATTATGAAGTAAAGTATTTGAAATTTTGAAGTTAGCAGAGTTTTGTACTGCGCCAGTCTTTCATGATTCTCAAAAAAAACCAAAAAACTTTTTTGAATATATTAAGCATGTCTGTGTTGGATAACTTAAGACGTTATGTAATAAAAATTATATAGATAATTTAAGGTTTGGGAATGATGCTGTCTCCTTCTAGAGAGGATTTTTGTTGACTTTTGGCAGGAGGCAAGCTAGTGGCACTAGCAATCCTGGATCATCTTAATCCAGTCAGAGACTATAATGTTTCAAAACTGGGTTCCAGAGTCTACGAAGCTGGTCTATTTTGTTTTATTTACTTCTGGGATATGACCCCTTGGAGTCCTAGCATAAAGCCAGGGGTGTTATCAGCCCCACACGCCCCCACCCCCACACTTTCTTGAACCCTTAACTCCAATATTTAATCATCTCTAGTCGTGTAAATCTGTTGCAAGTTCAAGCTCAGCTTCTCAGCCACCTCTTTGGAATTAGCAGATCCCATCAGGAGGAAAAACGACCCCAGATGCCAGGCTCCCTTATGAGCTTTTCCTTATTCTACTAGATCTTAGTCTTCATGCTTTTTCACTACCTTGGCACTCTGATGCCCTCAAACAGGTTTTTTGGTTTTGATTTTTAAAATATTTTTTACTGGGGACTTGAGCAGGTGTCCAGTTTTTCTAGTTGCTCCCAGTAAGATAATTGATTTGAATTATCTAGTTCACCATTTTAAGGAAAATGATTTGTTAGGTTGATCAAGGTTTATGTCATAAGATTCTCTATTTGAAATTGTAGTGTAGGTGATTTCAGTTTTTCCTAGGGGTAAGATTTTGGGTACCAGTTTCTACAGATTATAGGAATTATTAGAAAAGGGGGAAATCGCCTTGGAAATAGAAATGGGAGGGGAAAATGGCAGAAAAAACTAGATATTTTTGCAAAGTTTAGAAAAGATAAAGGTATAGGGTAACATTTTCATGTCTATTAGGAGTGTAAAAGGGCAGTCATGTATAAAAGGAGCTGAGATATTTGTTGTAATGAAATTGTCATAATTAAAAGACTGTGGAATCTAGGTATTATGGGAGTGGCTTTGAGAAGTATCTACTTAGTCATGTTGAATAAAATTTTAAAATTTCGCAGAGAAACCCTAGGATACTGAGTCATTAATTGAAGGAGTCAACTTTGGGGCTGGACTTACGGTTGTGTTTATAGCAGTATAAATCTGCCCAACCACTAGTATGTAAGGGATTGCAGAACAAATGTAATTTCATAGAACCCATTATTTATATGAGAGATACAAAATGATACTGATTTTGATTTAGGATGCCATCTTCATCTGTGTATGAAAATAAATGTAAGGTCTTAAAGAGTTTTTGTTTTTGATTCTCTAAGCTATTCCCATACTTCTTAAATTTCAAAATTACAAAGTTTTCCATCCATCTTTGTCATTATAATTGAGGAAAAATGATACATCTTTAATAGCCCTTGAGAAAATGATAGATACTGGGTGTATTTCAGAAGGTTTTATCAGCAGAGTTTTGGTTGATATTTTAAACTTTGAGGATAGGAATTGTTTGGTAAAGTGATGCCCTCTCTTTTTTGGCTCCATCTTCCAGTATATGTGTCATAGGAACCTGGTTTAAGATCAGTGTGTTTCTTTGTTACACCTGTCAGTAGAATCGGCTATTACTGTTTTTTGGTTCCTTAAAACTGAACATTTTGGCCACCGTCCTCACCCACATTTTAAAGTGACTTCATTCTCTCATATCACTCCCAACTGAAGAATGTTCAGACATACACATTGAAAGAATATTATGGTAAACACCTGTATACTTCATTTGGATATTGTAGTTGTTAGCTTTTTTGTCGTATTTGTTTATGTCTCTCCTAAAGGTAAACACATTCTGTTACATATGTCATACTTAAGCCCTTAATATCTAGTTCATATTCAAGTTTTGCTAATTATTCCCCCAAAAGGTCAGTTTGTGCTGCAATCAGATACTGTGATTTCTCACCTTATTTTCTTAGCTCTTGTGAAGATGTTTTCGTGCATGGATAGTGTTCACATTGATGTTTCTGTTGGGGCAATCACTGGGGAGTCCTATTCTTCCATCTTGTTCTGCCCCTCTTCTCCAAAAAGGTCAACTTTTTCAAACCAATATTGAATCAGTTTATGAACTACATTTGATTGTTGTTGCTTTAGTCACTTTTAACATACTACAATTGTCCTGTTTTCTATTTTTTTGTTTTTTACACTTATGATACTGTCTTCTTGAAGAGACCAGGCCATTTGTCATAGAATGTTTCCCATATTTTGGATTTGTCTGATTGTTTTCTTGTAGCAATTAACTTGTATCTCTATTCCCACTGTGTTTCCTAAAGTAGAAGATTGAGTCTAAAGGCTGGATTATATTTAGTTTTTTTGGCTTAGTTATTCCTGTGTACATTATATTGACTCATAACACAGGCATCAGGTGGTTTGCCTAAAGTGTGATCATTTGGTGTTAAGATGGTATTCACCAGATCTATCCATTATAACGATGGGTTTCCCCTTGACAATCAGCAGTTGATCAGTGAGATGACATTTTGGTTCCCTGTGAATATTCTGTTTTCCAGCAGCCTATGTGTTTAGAGTCTTTTGGTGAGCTTTGAATCGGTTGTTTCATTTGGGCTTGCAAATGGTGTTTTTTTGTTTTTGTTTTTCGTTTTTCTAACCCTATCATCCTTCTTTTTTGTTTTTATTTTTATTTTTTTCAGACAGAGTCTCGCTCTGTCACCCAGGCTGGAGTGCAGTAGCACCATCTCTGGTTACTGCAACCTCCACCTCCTGGGTTCAAGCGATTCTGTCACCTCTGCCTCCCGAGTAGCTGGGACTACAGGCACATGCCACCACGCCTGGCTAATTTTCATATTTTTAGTAGAGACAGGGTTTCACCATAATGGCCAGGCTGGTCTCAAACTCCTGACCTCAAGTGATCTGCCCACCTGGACCTCCCACCTATCATCCTTCTTGATCTATTAATATTAACCAGCTTTCCTTTGTTAAAAAGACCTTTCCCCCTTGTCAACTAGGATTGAACTACAGTTCTTCCTAAGAAGATGAGATAAATTTTTATTTCTCTTTAACATACCAACTTTTTAACATACCGGGTTTGAAAATTGGTTAGTAGTCATCTCCAAAAAGTGGCACATAACTTTCACTCTCTCTGTGTCACAGGGATTTTTGATTTTTCAAAAGTTTTATGATCATTTCAGTCATTCTTTTTAAAATAGTCTTCATTTATAGAAGTTTTGGTTTTACAGAAAAATTGAGTATATACTATAGTTTCTATATACCCCACACCCAATTTCTCCTATAATTAACATCATATGTTTGCATGGCACATTTGTTACAGTTAGTGAAAATTATTGGTACATTATTCACTAAAATCCATAGCTTATTCAGCTTTTCTTAGTTTTTAGCTAGTGTTTTTGTTTTGTTTTGTTTTGTTTTTACAAGATCCCATTTGGGATACCACATTACATTTTGTCGTATCTCCTTAGGATTTCTTAGCTGTGAGTTTCTCAGATATTCCTTTTTTTTGATGACCATGACTGCTCAGATATTTTGTGGGATACCGTTTTATTGGAATTTGTCTAATGTTTTTCTTATTTTTAGACTAGCCTTATGGGTTTCTAGAAGGAAAATCCACAGAGGTAAAGCATCATTTCATCACATCCTGTCAAGGGTACGTACTGTTAACATAATTTATGACTTGGTTTTGATTTTGATCACCTGGTGAAGTAATGTTTGTCAGATTTTTCCATTGTAAAGTTATTCTTTTTTCCTCCTTTTCATACTGCACTATTTGGGAAAAGTGACCATGCACAGCCCACACTTAAAGAGTAGAAAGTTATGTCCTGCTTCTTGATGGCAAAGTGTCTACATAAATTATTAATATTTGGAATCCTTCTGTGCAGGAGATTTTTATTTTCTCCCATTTAGTGATTTATTTAGTCATTTATATCAGTATGGACTCATGGTTGCTTATTTTATACTTTGTGTTACAGTCCAATACTAATAATACTTCATTTTGCTACTCACATTGTTTCAGATTTGGCCATTGGGAGCTCCTTTAGTTAGCTTCTGTGCCTTTGACATACTTCCATCAGCGTGGGTGTTTTCTGAGCACTTTCTTTCTGGCACTACAGGATGCTCCCAGCTCATCTTGTATGTTTTCTACCCTAGTCCTGGGATCAGCCATTTCTCTAAGGAGCACTGTTTCCTTTAATTAGAAAATGGTATTAGAAACAAAGTTCTAGGTGTGCTTGTTGCTACTGGAATGTTGTTTCTTTTAGGTACTCTCAGCAGATAGAGCAAAGAAATATATTCATATATTAGAAATATCTGTATATCTACATGTCTAGATAGACACATATAAGTATTTAATATTACATATCGGTATATGTGCATAAATATTTGTAACCATCTGTATCTGTATAAGCTAAACATGAATTCTTAGTGTCTTCAACTCTAATCTATCACCATATGGATCATTCCTGGTCCTCCCCTTACCAGTAAATTTCCTCCAGTAGTGGGAAACCTGCCTCCCAGCACACACCACGTATTTACTTAGTTGTTCAATTCCAACGTAGATCTTATAGCAGTATCAGAATTGTTAACTCACACGCAGTGGAAACAGCTGTATCAACTAGGAGGGTTTTTTCTTTTTTTCCAATTCTTCAGAAATTTCTAGGTAGACAGTCATGTCATCTGCAAACAAAAACAGTTTTGTTTCTCGTCGCCCCTCCATCTGTGTGCCTTTTCTTCCCTTTTATTGTCTTAGTGCAGTATTTAGGACTTTAGGTATGATGTTGAATAGGAGTGATGGGAGGAGACGTTTTTGCCTTATTCTTGTTCTTAGGGGGAAAGTATCTAGTTTTTCACCATTAAGTACTATGTTCACTGTAGAGGGTTTTTTGAGGGGAGTAGAGTAGATTTTTTTTTAAAAATCAAATTGAGGAAATTCTTCTCCATTCTCGGTTTTCTGAGCGTTTTCATCATGAGTGGTGTTAGATTTTGTTAGATGCTTTGTCTGCATCCATTGATATGACCGTTTGATTTATATTCATTAGCCTGTTTATGTGGTGGGTTAGGGTTACATTAGTAGATTTTAGAACCAGCCTTGTATACCTGGGATAAATCTCACCTGGTTATGATGAATAATTCCTTTTCTACATTAATGGATTCAATTTACTAATATTTTGTTGTGGATTTTTGTTACCTATGTTTATGAAAGATACTGGTCTGTAGCTTTCTTTTCTTACAATCTCTTTGTTTTATTATTATTATTATTAGAATAATGCTGCTCTTTTAGAATAAGTCAGGAAATGTTCCTTCTGTTTTTATTTTCTGCAAGAGGTTGTAGAGAATTGGTATCACATTTTTTTTCCTTAAATGTTTGGAAGAATTCACCAGTAAAACTTCGGGCCTGGCATTTTCTGTTTTAAAAAATTAATAACTATCAATTCAATTTTTTAATAGATATAGATCTATTCAGATTATTGATTCAGTTTCTTTAATAGTTACAGGTTTGTTCAAGTTGTTCATAGTATTCCTTTGTTGTACTTTTAATGTACTTGGGATAAGTAATGATGACCCCTCTTCCATTTGTTACATTAGTAATTTGTGCCTTCTCTCCTTTTTCTTCTTCTTCTTCTTTTTTTATTTGAGACAGAATCTCACTCTGTCACCCAGGCTGGAATGCAGTGGTGCGATCTTGGCTCACTGCTACCTCAACCTCCTGGGTTCAAATGATTCTCCTGCCTCAGCCTTACAAGTAGCTGGGATTACAGGCATATGCCGCTGTGCTTAGCTAATTTTTGTATTTCTTAGTAGAGGTGGAGATTTCACCATGTTGGCCAGGGTGGTCTTGAACTTCTTAATTAGTCTGGCTAGAGGTTTAACAGTTTGATTTATATTTTCAGTGAGCCAGCTTTTTTTTTTTTTTTTTTTTTTTTTCCTGTTTTTAATTTCATTGATTTTGACTGTTAATTCTTTTTTTTTCCTTCTGTTCACTTTAGGTGTTATTCTTTTTGATGATCGGTTGTCTCACATTTGGCCAGTGACAGTCTCTTGAGGTGGCTGCTGTGTCCATTTTGATCTGACCTGGTTGTTCGTTGAGTGCTTCCTTGCTTTCTGGCAGGATAAAATGTCTTTCAGCCTGTACTTATCTTGCCTTAACCTGGGACACTCCATTTCTTTAGGAAGTTGGCTTCAGTCTTAATTTTATGTGATTGCTCATTTCTTCCATCTAAACTTTAAACAGATTTGACACATTGAGATCAGCATTTTTGCCTTTTTTTGGTAGTCAACAAGAGCGACTGAGGTGACCTGTTGATGCTAGTATTTATTGTGTCTTAAAACTTGTCTTAAAGACAGAACATTTTTCTGTTCAATTTATATAAGCAAAAAGGCGCTTTTTCTGTATCCAGCCAAACTCTTCTATGGCATCTCTGAAAGTCATTTATACTTGACCAGTTTGTACTTTTGCTAAGGGATAGTTGAAAACCACACCTTTTTAAGAAGTTCAGAAATTGAGGATGCAGTATTCTGAATGATCTAATTTGGTTTTTCTGCATCCCTACGATTGTTTTGTTATTTAATAAAGTGTTTGAACTTTAGTTTCAGGGTTTTTCTTTTACTTTTAACAAATATTATGTGCCAACACTTTACAAATAGTAACTCATTTAATTATTTAACCTTGCTGGTAGATATGGTTATTCTCCTCTCTCCCTCATAGATGGGGAAACTCAGGCAAGATGAAGTTAAGTAACTTGTGCAGGGTCATACATGAGTGGCAGAGTCAGAGTCTGAATCCAGATAGTCGGCTCCAGACGCCAAACTCCCAGCCACTGCTTTGTGCTGCCCCTCTTTTCTCTGCCAGTTAAGTAGAAAAAGTTGTTTGTGATTCTGCATTTTGCTGTCCCCTTCTGTTGTTAATTATAGTATAATGGGTATCACTCTTATCACCATAAGCCTTAGTATGGTATTGCAAGCACCAGTTAAGCAATAATGTTTTGAGATCCCTAATTGAAAGAATTCAGAGCGGTGTATTGCTTTGAGTTAGTTGGCCCTTTGCCACAACTCTGTTTTTCCATGAGACAACATTATCATTAACAGTAATAATGTGTAAAAAGATGAGGCCTCCTTTTTTAAAAAAACAGTATTAAATTCATTTAGCGTATGAATTTTAAAGTAACGTAGTCAGTGATGATATAAGATCAAAGAATAATAAGTGAAAACACTTCATAAGGCACAGAGCTAAATGTGTGTAACTATTTTATTGGTGTACATAGTTACTGCTAGAACTATAAAGGAAGAATCATTATTTTATGGAAAGAACATATGTTACTGGAAATCCTATACTCTAAGATCAGAATTCTAAATTCCAGTTTTTTGATGTGTTAACATAGGGTCCATTGCATCCTATTTCCTGGTTTATTTTTATCCTTACTCTGCTTCCTCATAATTCTAATTAACTAAAACCTTCTGGTTCCCCAAGGTCAGGGCATACTCTTTTTGAAAATAATATTAACTAGTGCTGATGAGAGGAAGAGAGCAACAGGAAGCATTAAAAAAAATTTTTTTTGAACTAACGGCAAATATAAAATATTGAGGAAAAAGGTAAAGATTAAAAGTATCTATAATCTAGCTAGTAATATTTTGGTGTATTTGTTTTTATGTATTTTGTGCACATGGGATAGAGATTTATATACATGGGTACACGCTTACATATACAATTTGTAAGGATCCAAAAATCATATTAGCTTACATTAATTGAGGACTAGAGTATTGATAACTGCTTTTATTTGATTAAAGTCTAGGAAATAGATTTTGTTTAAAAGAAATATATTCTTAACAGATAAAATTTTTATAAAATAAGAGATTTGCAACATTTTTTTTTCGTATAAGTATGCTAAGACTACCATCTCTTTAACAGAAAGGAGTTTTAAACTGTAACTTAATAGGAAGATATTTCAGGGATTCTATGAAGTCAAGAATGTTTTCATATAATACTGGAAGTGTTACGTGCGTTTTTCATGTCTGTTCTCAAGAGTTTTTCTGAGGCCATGTGACTTGCCCTGTGATGTGGCCACAGATCATATAGAAGCAAATGAGAGAACCCAGCTGTCTGAAATTAAGCCAGACAATAAAGGGATTTGCAGAAATGTAAAACAATGCGTGAGAAACACATTCACCCATCCAAACCCAATGAATGGGCTCAGAGACACGAAGAACAGTGGAAGTGAGACTTTTAATGGCAGTCTTGCAGGATCAGGTGTCTGGTAGGCAGGCACACCCAGGGCAGGTACAGCAGGTAATTTATCTCCTAGCATGCAAGTCCCTTCCCCAGTTCCTCTTTGGTCGAGTACTATGGGGTTACGATCTTCCCGGACGTTGCCTAAGTTTCATTATCCCCCTTAAAAGGTTGTACCCCAGTACCCTTCCCCATTAAGTTTCGATTTCCCAGTAGCAAAACTTTCTTCCCTTTTATGGACTGACCCCTCCTCTACATTCTGATCGCTTATCATGACTTTATAGGTGCATGAGCCATGTGATTTGTCACATCCGCAGGCTGACTGCCAGTACTTAGATTTGGTTCTTGGTCTAGAATGGCTGGATTGTCAATGGTGATGAATATAGGATTATATTCTAAATTGTGGTAGTTATTTGGCAGGGAGCCCT